AGTACTGCTTGAGTTTGAACTACAACATGAAATTCTATTTGACTTCTATTGGAAACACCTGAGTGAAATATTAATTTAGTATGTTAACTATATCTTTGTCATCTTCTATTATTAAGCCTCTATTAAAGCCCCTATTAAACCCCGTAATAAAGTGATCTTATCTTATCTTTTTATTATATCACAAACCATTCCCACTGTTCTGATACTGTTGTAGCACTGTGAAGAAACCTATGCCTGTTATGAGATAACAATTAAGCCTTCAAGAACTGCTTTACTGCTTTGTGAGGGCTTAAATGTTAACTTCCTTTTTGTAAAGTTTCTTCAACTGGTAAAAGTGCTTCACATTATTTTCTGCCTCTATCGCAATATTCTTTTTGTCTTCCTCTTGGCAATTCTAATATCCAGTTGTGCCTGTAGCTCAATATATTTTTTTCTCTAAACAAGTGAGTGAATGTTTAATAAACCTGTTTCTGCAGGGAGAGACGGGGTGTTCAATTCAGTGTGTTGATTTTCAAGTAAACAGATACACTGTACATGTACCACACATTTATTCATATTTAAAACCACATAAGTGTTGAGTCATCTTTAACAGTCCCTAGCAATAGGGCTTTTTATTTCACACTGGGTTTATTGTTTGATGTCAAGCAATCATGTGTTTACAAATTTAGAACAACCCTCTCTCTTGTTTCCTTTGGTTGCAAAACAATTTTCGTTTACAAGCATGAAATCATAATATAGTTAAATACATTTAACCACATGTCTTTCAACATTCCAGACTGGGTGTATAGCACTGAACACAGTTGAGAGGGAGGTTAGAAAGTGACAAGACATACATTTGCTTATTATACCCAAGAGGATGGGATCAAGTGCTTGTGACTTGCTTGAAAAGAGGAACAAGAATACTATTAATTATTAAGCAAATGCTTTTAACCAACACAGCATGGACAGGTTGTGTGCACTGTTGTAGTTGAGTTGGTAGCAATGCAGGTCAAGTACCTTGCTCAAGTGCACAATTGTTCTACCTGGGACTTGAACTCAAATTTCCTACACGGGAGTCCTTACCATTACTCCTTACTGCCAAACCAATATACCTTAATGTAGCATTACCAAACTGCTCCAGATTACCCAAGCACTTTAAGAAAGGAGAGGCCTTTTACCTCTTCTCTAAAACGAAACAAATCAATCCACCACTCAGATGGTATGGACATCTGATCCATGATCATGACAACGTGCCAGGGAGTCTGTGTGAAATATGACAAAGTATTAATTAACAGAAGGCAAAAGCAGATTCAGGGATAACTGCAAAACAATAACAACGAGAAGAAATAGTGCAGCCACAAAATGTTTTAAAATAATGATTTACTTTTCTGATTCACATAATGCTAACATGCTTTAATGCTGCCTGCTGATAATTACTGTAAGTAACAAAGATCACTTAGCATGCAATTAATGCTAAACCGAAGTGTTAATTTGTCTCAGTTTAGTGGCATGGTGAAAAATCCTCTGTACATGTCTCTATATGTTCATCTGATCTTAGGTGGCAATCTTTTGAATAATCTTGCCCCTCGCAGAACTCATATTACACTGTATATCTCTGCCACTGGAATCCACTTCTTTTGTTTCATCTGCAAATACAGATAAATAAATCTGTAGGTGAAATCAGACAGACTGTCACTCCAGATTCAGAGACAGCTTCTTCCTGCAGCACTGTTGTTTTTTTGTTTTGTTTTTATTTAAGCTGTGTGTTATTTAACTTTGTTGCTACAGCTGCTGACATTTTGTGTTTAAGTTTGGCATTTCCTTAATGTCTTTGTATTGGTGCATTCATGGACATAAGCCTTTCGTTGAACTTGTGCCTATGACAAAATAAACTGAACTGGAGTCTGCCCTGTTGTAGTGAGGTACTGTACATCAGTCCATCGCAGTTTGTCATTGTGATCATGCTGATCCATAAGCAGGAAGTATAAACTCAACAACACCCCCAATATAGTACTACAGTATATTGTATTTTATATACTGTATAAAATGAGTATTTTATTTATACTTTTTCTTTCTTTTCTTTGTATCTAAGTCTTTCTGTACTGTATCTATGTTACTTCAAGAGTGCCACAAAAAAAATCCTAACAACCTGAAGCATTGGTTTGGCAATAAAGCTGACTTTTGACCTTTGTATACCTTGTGATATATACAGTACAGTATATTAGGTAGTACAAAATGTATCCACTAGAGGGAGAATCAATACTTTTCACTGAAGGATTAGTAAAAAACTGGTGTTTTCAGATAACCCCCTCCATCATCTTCCTCTTCATTCCCTTAAGCTAATTAAGGTTTGTATTTAGGACGCGCTTGATTCTTTGGATCAAAACCAAAGACTGCAAAAAGAAGTTTGAGCTCATGGCTTGTTCAGAAAAGACCTAAATAAATCAAATAAAGACTAAATAAAGACAATACCTTGGAATGCATTACATTACAGTCTGATTTAATGGAACAATGCCAGGTTCTGTTGTGGTAAAATAACATAAAATATGTCTCTTCAGGGAGCATCAGGTAGAAAAGAAAATTGCGTTTAAAGATAGATATTAGAGTGCCAGTTGTAGATGCTGATTTTCTTGAGGGCTCCTGAGGCTTCTTGACATTCTGGTCATAATGCCACTTCAGCATGACAAGGGCTGTCAGCCACTGGGTATCTTTTATTAATGTGCCTGCCTGTACCCCTCCATCTGCCTTCCCTTCATCTGTATTTGTATTTCTTAAACAGGGCGTACAGGACTGTCAGAGTTGCCGTCAGATCCTGAGAGACGATATCTATAGCAAAAGAAAAACAAACATATTGCCATGAAAAATGTATTTAACTACCATTCAGCCGAAACCTTCACCAAAATCATAAGTACAAGGCCGTTTGCATGACAATTCATTTATGCACAGAGACAGGGAAGGCACACATGGAAAATAAGTATAAGCAGATTCAAGATGGAAAACAGGAGGCATCCTTCACACAAAGAGATGTTATTTCATGAAAACTATGCTGTGGGCACTGAGTCACTGGGATTATTTACAAAATGGCTTGACAAGGTTCTTGGATCAATACTATACATACAAATGTACAGGCAAGCTGTCCAGAGTAAGCTCCTTCCATCTGTAATATCTTTCATGCCCTTGTGTGTTTACTTCATACTACCAAAACTGATTCAGTTACAGTGCCTTTGCAAGTGTAATTAGACCCTTGTACAGTTTTCACATTTTGTTGCTTGCTGACATGACACTTTGAAGTAGCAAGTAGTATTTTTTATATACACAGCCTGTTCCACAAAACCACTTCTTCCGATGCAGGGTCACATGTGAGAAGGAGCCTATCCTAGCAAGCAACAGGCACAAGGCAGGGTACACATTTGGATGGGATGCCAGTCCATTGCAGAGGCAGACACACAGACACAAAACAGACATGTACACTCTCACATCTAGGGCCAATTTAACCAGAAAAAAAAAATGAAGCAGTATTTTGTTTTGGACTGTGGGAGGAAACCCATGTGAATACAGGAAGACCTTACAAACTCTACACAGATACAGTAGCACCCCAGGGTCCAGAATTGAACACAGGACCCCAGCAGAGAGACGGAGGAAAAACTGTAGAGTTTAAAAACTGCCTGTAAGTGATCCCCTGGCAATTTGAAAAAGCTTGAGCAAGTCTGCCCAGAAGAATGGGCAAAAATTGCATCAAGATGGTGTGCAAAGGTGGTAGAGACGTATCCAAACACATTTGTAATACTTTTAGATTTGCAATACAGAATACTTTTTTGACAAATCACTGCAAGTCAATATTTCTTATAATAGTTCTTATAAACATGAAGTGAATTCTTGTGTAGCAGTTGTCAGTATCAGAACAGCCCAGAACATAGAGCATTCATACATTTCTCATCTATTGCACTTCAATGGAGAGATAAAGACGAATACTCTCTCATACTCTCACATACACCACTCAGCACTGTTCATACTGTAACTATACTTCCAAATAGACACATTCATACACACAGACAGTAAACAGGTTTCTCTGCTGCATTTGATTGTATTACTTGTTTATTCCTCTCTAGGAATCTAATATCATATACCCTGCTTCTTCTTGTGTTTGGAATTTGACAGGGGAGGCTACAGATGAAATATTCATTCAATTGAAAATAACCAACATCTTATTAGTTTGTTTTCCATTCTGACTGCGGAAAAAAGGAGAACTCTGAAATGGAAACCTTTTGAGAATGACTATTCATTTCAGGCAACCCCAGAGCAGGTGATTCATCCAAACTTTTGTGCCACAGACAAATTTTCTGCCTTGACACATTTTCGATTTAAATGCTAAACATATGCTGCCCCCAATGCTACACTCTGGCATAATCCAGTGGAACAACAATATAAAATCCAGATAAAGCATCATACGCAGATTACATACGCTCCAATTCGGGGGTTTCACCATATACAGTATATATATATAAAACGTATAACATCTAGTTATAATATACAAAAACAGTCCATAAATAATTTTAATTACCATAACTATGTATCACTAGAATTTACACTACAGTATATGCATTTGGGCATAAAACCAGATTTTAAAAAAAATGTATTATGGGTCATATCCCGTCCAGACTAGATAAATATAAATACAAACACATATAAATGCAGATTATATATACAGTAAATACATATATAAATATATATATAATATTTATATGCATGTATATGTATCATATAAATACATGCATATACTGTACATAGAGGCATATTGGAAAATGATTTTTCGTTGAAAGAAATCACAATGCAACCTGGCACCAATTATTTTGGAATTCCTATGATATTTTGTCTTTCCGCTACCTGATATCATGAAATGCTTCATCTGCTCAGTTGACATGATGCGACACCATGGGATTTTTGAGGGAAAAGCTGTTTCCTGCTGCTTCTTTGGAAACAGATTACATAGCAACTGTCTTCGCAACCACACACAAAGGTCTGGAAAACATATATCCTCACAACGATGGAGGTTGCAGTATCAGAACACAAGAGTCGTTGTGTTCACTGTTATCTCAAGATCTTGTATTTTAGTAAATTCGTTTCTAACTAGTTGTGCTCCTTCTTGTCAGTAGCTCTTACAGTAACAGGGCAAGGAAACTTTATTTTGTTTAAATTAAAATCCAGTAGTAATGCTTCCTTACATTGGTGGTGCATTTTCTTATTGTATTTGTAATTTGTTTAATAGTTGTTACTTTGGTGGATGGATGTTATTTTGGATTCAGGTAGATAACACCCCCTGCCACAGTGGCAGTGGCATTTAATATACATATTAAAACAGATATAAAACAATGTGACCAATACAAGCTGAGTTCAGTAGTTTGCAAAGAGTCTTTGATCTGGGGGTAGGTCTGTCTGTTTTGTGGGCATAATTAGACACTCACAAAGCTCTCCAGAATAATACTCATCATACTGTAAATAACTGATCTAAGCATAATATTAGCAGGCTAAGACATCTGTCTGTGCAGCCCTAACATGATTGGATGATACAATCCAATTTCCCCTGCTCAGCGGTGCCTGCAGGCATAAAATGTGCTCCTACACCTTGTTAAGGGAAAATAAATAAGCTACATTTCAATATGCACTGACCTTCAGGGGCAACATTGTACAGCTGGAGTTCTCTGTCACTCAGCAGGTCCAAAGCTAGGGTGACATTATGTACCTGCACAAATAAAAATGTCACATGTTCAATCAGATATGTTATTTAATCCACAATGAGGGGCATGCACTATGATAATTCTCACATGTGGGACACATTAACTTCCTCCAAGGACTATGTCAATGGCTCTGAAACAGTTTTGAGGGTCAACAGGAAAACCTTAGAGATTAGACCATATTGTTAGATCCGAACGTATGTTATCTGGTTGCTATTTAGTGAATAGATCATGTATGAATTCTTGGGATGGTGGGTTATTCCCTGTGATTCTGGACTACAGTATGTGCCAGACAGATTCCTTTCATTGAATGTTTTGTATTCATTCTATGTATTAATTCAATGTTCGGTCCCTGCCAATAATATCAAATGATTTCAGTGGACATGTTATAGCAATGTGTTCAAACCTCTGGCCATCCAGTGTTCTTGTGAATGCATCAATGTTTGCCAAAAATGAAGGATCTCTGTAACTATCTTTTTCTTACAAGATTTTTAGCATCCTTTCAAACAGCTCCCACTCTCACATGCTAGATCTCGTTATGTCTTAGGGTATGATCACACACATAGGACAGTTTATACTGTATGTTTTGTGAGCCACCTCTTAACCATTAGACTCTGCAGTTCTTGCTATCTGGTCTTGTTAGGTTTTAATTTGTGAGGACCCCCTATGGTTTGGCAGCTGGTTATGTTTCCCCAAAGCAATTTGATACATCTAAAGGCACAGTCACATACCACAGAAAGGCAATCTGTTAAGCTGTGTTCATAAGACAGCTGCAGCCCCAGATGTAGCTGCACTTCAGGGTGCAGTCTTTAGCTCATGGTGAAGCATTTTGACTGTAATAAAAGATTATATGCTGTTGTTCTTTAACTTTGTTTACAAGCACAAGCCCTGCTTCACACTTAATATGCCAGAATTGTGTTTTCATGGCAAATGCTTGTGATTTCTGAACAGTCTGAGTAAGTGGCACCAGAAGATACAGATATTCATGAGTACTTTTCATGATACAGTAGTGGAACATTTTAAAAATAACATCCAAATTACAGTAATATTCACTATTTCAAAAGCAGCATACCCAGCAATCCATGAAACAGTGTTTTACTATTAATCTATGTTTTATAAACAACCAGAAACTGAACTGATACAATATTATATACTGTATACTGTACATGCTATAGCCCACAGCACACAGTATATTTATCATTTGTCACCTGGGGTTTTACCTAGAGATTAAACTGCTAATTTAATTAACTATATTTGGATTCACAATAACTGTATTAAATGTGTTTGGATTTGAACTCGCAAATTAAAGCAATATGATGCGCTCTCACCATTTCTTCATTAGTTGAAGGGGTGAGGTAGAACTCACTCAGATGAACAAAGTAGTCTTCCAGTTGGCCGATTAGTAATAGCAGTATGACCCCATCAGAAAACTGTTGAAAAACAAAGTGTGTGATATTTATTTTAAAACTGCGTTCCATCTTATGAATTCAAAATTAGTTTTTTTTGTCTTGCTGAATAAAAAAAAAAAAACCTTTGCGTAGCTTTATATCTCAACCCATGATATTTTCCATAGCAATGTGGAAGTATGTGTGTAGAGAGAAGAGTAATCATAAGATGATGAATAAAGGATCTCAAAATACAGGGGGAGCTTACTTTATCACCCACTGAAGTGCAGTACCCATCTAAGTGATTACAGTATGTGCAAGATGCCCAACTACACAGCAGATCAGGTGCAGAAATGAGAAAATACGTCTCCAGTGAATTTAAGGACGGACCACCTAGGCTATTGGGCTAGGGACCAGCTACAGTATTCCTGATCACCATAATTAGCCATTGTTTTGGAAATTCTGGTATGGAGGAAAATGTGCCATATACTAGTCACCCAATATCTAAGGTTATGTTGTTAAAACTGCAAATATTATCTATTGCATTTAATGGGCATTTAATTCACCCAATCATTTTCAGCTTATCCAACTCCTTATACTCCTACTCCACTTATTGTTGATGGTGTTCCTACTTTACAAAATGCATTTTATTTTAAGCCTCTAACTCCTGATACTCTCTCTAAAATCATTCAGTCTCTGAACACCTTCAGTCGAATGGGATGGACGTCAGATCCAGTCTCCAATTCTCAATCTTCTACCAATTATTTATCACATCACTTGTTTCACTGCAAAGAATCCAGAGCCAGTGAGAAAATCATATTGCCTTTTCCACAAATAGATTTTATTCATCATGTTATTTTACTACATACTGACAATATAAAGACTGCTCTTAAAGTCAGTAAAAACACAGGTTCAGTCTTTTTGTATTCTCCTGGAATTCTTTTATGTCTCTTGTATTAAAGATAACTGCTGATCAACAGATACAGTAACTAGCTGAAGAAAGCTCATTCAGTGGTTGAGTGGTACAGTAAATCTATATTCAAAATATTTGTAAAATTCTTCTCTACGCCACAGTACAATTGGTTGCAGAATAAATGCAGAAAAACTCCACTGCTCTTTGCAAAATTGTTTATAGAGGTCAATAACATTTAAACCTTAGGATACTGGACCTCTCTTCCATCAGTCTTTTCTCAAAGGCTTTTGTACAGTATAAACATACCTGTGTATCTATGTCAGACACTTGTAATCCCATACGTGCCATGTTCTTGTTGACAAAATGCAAAATAGCCTAAAATTCAAAATAAATACAAAGGTAAGGGCCATTAAATCCTCAACAATATACACTGGTGTTATGTACAACCTTTAAAAATCAGGATGGAGAGTACCTCAGTGTTCTTATAGTACTTACGTCTGTACTGAAGGAAGTGAGATGACTGTGAACAGGGGATTGATTTCAAACCCAACTTCTGTTGGTTCAACTCCTTTTTGTGAAATTTAGATGTACTTTTTGTTTTATATCCACCGGCTGTGAGAAAGCCAATCGCTTGTTCGTTACATCTTTGCTCACAGGTTCAAACCCTGTGACTGCACACAGGGGAAGATGAGGAGGGTAGATACTCCTCTGATCTGCCCAAGATGTCTTTGAACACATCATATTCGACACAACCTCATTTGGGAGGATCAGTGCTGACTGGAGTAGAGGTGTATTGGTCTCCAGCAGCACTGCATGCCTGTAAGAATCAAGGGCTCTGAGTTGCTAAGAGCCAAGAGAGCCCAATTAATCCCAACCTACCCTCCATGGCGCTCACCCAGGTGTGTGCCTGCTCAAAGTCAGCTATGTGCCATAGTCAGTGACATGGCCAGGGTTGGTAGATGTCAGTTGCAGTGACAATTGGCACTACCCACTTGCAGTGAACCCTAAACTGCCTTGCTTTTACAGTGGTGTCGATACCCTACGTTTTTTCAAGACAGATCTCGATGAGATTCTCCAATCAGGACAGGATGCACATGTTTACACAAAGGGTTGTGAGAGTCTGGAACAAGCTACCAAGACATGTTGGTGAAGCCGATACCCTGGGTTCTTTCAAGACATTGCTGAAGCTCCTTGCATCAACTAACCTCTAACTACCAAATGGGTTGATTTGCCTGCTCTCGCTTGTAACCCTTCTTTTGTTCTGGAGTGAGGTGGGGATAAAGATGGTGTGTTTCCTTTATCTATCTTACCTGCTTTACAGTGTTCACTTTCTGTGGCTCCAGCTTCAGAAGTTCATCAATGGGATCTATTTTTAAGAGAGCAATAGACAATGATATAATGAAGGAACACGACTAAGAGCTTAGACATACAGTAGATACACAAGTATGTTCACATCAGCCAAAGATAGATGACTGATACACAAATACACAGCACATAGATAAACATCAGTCAAATATGCAAGTATTGTATAAACTGCTGTGCAAATTTGAATGTGATGGACAACTGTAGATGCTTCAGCACTTCTTGACTTGTGATCATTGCATCACCTGATTGTGTCTGAGATGTCTAGATCTCATGCACAGATGGTTAAAAGGCAAATCATTTAAATAACATTCTTTAACATTCTAAATAACTTTTGTACAATATGGGCTTTTGTACTCAAGGGGACTACATTTTCTTTATGATCCCTAAAAACACATATGAACTTTAAGAGACAGGTGGAGTTTGAGGTTTGTGGACAGCCTAACTAAAAAATAAGCACAAATGTGTTGACGTTTTTTTTCCTTACTGCTATAGCTAACCAGCACACATGCATGTTATACAGTACTTGTGCTGATTAGTTTCTGTTTGTTTGGGAAAGGGCAAAAAGTTATTAGTTTTAATAAGCAGATAGTAGCCAGAAGCATAACAAAGGAATATACCATATACTATTTATACTGTACATCCATAAATGTTATATCTCTATACAGTATGTTGTATTTGTAGTATAAGATAGGGAAGCCAGATTCAAGGAATTTTATATATAATGTCTGTAAAACATTTTATAAAGCTGCCAGGTTTATGAGACTTCTCCTGCAACATTCTAATGAGAGATTTCTTTCTGTTTCCCAAATCATTTTTCACTATGTATATCTAAAATTGCTATCTGGAGTTATACCTGAAGTAAATTCATCATTCTAAAATAACACCTACGTTTGCATAGTTCTAAAATAACATCTACTTTTGCATATTACTACATATATATTAACATAGGTACACATATTGTTTGGTCTCACCATTGCATTGTAATCAAATCTGAATTGATTAATGAGCCATACAATTACTTAGGGTAAACAGGTTTTTGGTAGCTAAAGACTGGACTGCTTATCTTCTCCACCGGTTAAAGAAGAGAAGAAAATACCTTGATTTTTCCTTATTATCATTGCATGCTTGTTTTAACATGCTTGTTTTTTTCTGCTTCCACTTACTCTGTGAATTCTCATCCAATGATCCACTGCTAATAAAGGAGAGAGATGAAAGAGATTTAGTGTAAAACATATTGCAATTCACATCGTGCAAGAGCTCTTCAAGCTGTAGATTCATTAATTAAGAATACATAAATAAGAATACTGTGACCAACATGAAGTGGGATGAAAATCGATACATGTACAGTATACACATAAGAATTACAATTTTATCGTTTCCACCCATTTTGGAATGGGTTTTTTGTGTCTTACAATGACCCCACACAGGGAGAATGAGGACATGCAGACAGATTCCTTAAAACCCACCCATTCATTGAGACATTCAACTTATAATTAAAGTCAACATTATAACTTATAATAGGCAACAAGCTTTGCAGCGACATACAGGAGGTTCAATACCAATTGGAGAAGAGGCGTGTCCCCCACTGAGGTCACTGTGAGCTCATCACAGGTACCTATGTGAAATCCCTGGGATCACTGTTCCACTGTAATACAAGAAAGCCCTGGCCAACTAATTCCAATTCCACATCCAGGTGTACTGAGCTAATTATACAACTCTGTTTAGGGAATCCTGCTAAAAGAGGATCAGTGACATAACTCAAACCATCTGGATCATGGAGCCCAGATCATGGGGCTTGGTTGAGTGAGTTGGGAGCCCAAGCTGCAGATCTCTAAGTTAGTGGCAGCTTATGTCATTTTTATTATGTATTAATTAC